ATATTCTGGATGAATTGATTATTAGGCTTGGACAATACACGACAACAGAAAATCGAGACTGGTTATTAACTGTTAAAGAATTTGACGTAAAAACTCTAGATGATCCAGATGCTATGGAAGATTTGATCAATAGAATTGTAGATTACAAGGTATTCGGAGATCCAGATTCCTTGTTGACTGAAGAAGAATATGATGCAAAGATAGATGCCGAGTTAGCAGAGAAACAAAGAGAAGCAGAAACATATATTGCCGGACTTAAAGAAGAAACAGAAAGAATTCGTAAAGAAAGAGAAAAATTGAGAGAACTTTGCCAAGCCAAACAAGAAACGGTGCAAAGTTTAGATACTAATAATAACAACCAGACAGCTGAAACAACATTTTACTATTCCTACGACTCAGATTCAGATGACACGTTCAGTGAAGCAAGCGAAATACCTACTACAAAAAGTGAAACACCACATAGGCCTACACTCCAAAAACATAATACGGCAAATCACACCATTCAGATTAACTACAGTCAACAAAAACACAAGTACAGTGTCAGATGCTACTATTGTAATAGAACAGGCCACAAACAAATAAATTGCAGAATACGATATTATGATAGACGCCAACAAGATGCACAACGCAACAGACCAAAATATAGACAGATTAATAGAATAGCATTTATGTCATCGTTTACAGAAGCCAGTAAAAGAACAGACACATTTACGTCAAAAATTAATAACAGATACGCCACAGCAATTAGGGATACACACTGCTCCACAGTGGCAGTACGTAACACATTCGTACAACACCACCAATTCACAGGCAGAACACAACTTGTTCACAGTTCAAGAGGCAGCACATATGTTTGGCCAACAGCTATAGTCACCATAGCCACACCCTCAGCGTGTAAAACAGTTGAAGCAGTTGTTTTCAAAAACGGGCCATACGATATGATATTAGGCAACATTACAGGAGTGAAGCAATTTAATGTAGAATTTATGAGCCACAAGCAACAAATAAACAAGCAGCCCAGTATTCGAGACAACGGAAAAGTAGACGAATTGCAATTCAAAACGGACAAGTTGATAGAAAAAGTTAACGAGGTTATTGAAGATCATTCTAAAAAGACTACTGAGATTGGTGCAGTTGTTCTTAACTTAAGACTGCAGAACGACACACTCAGTAACAGATTGCTGAGATTAGAGAAATCAGTTAACAAGGAACCAGAGGATTATATAACAAAGAATTTGATAGCAGAAAAAGAGTACGGTTACTCCTGGTCAACCTTAAACCAGATGATCCCATCAACACACCTACACAAACACAAGTATAGTAATCATAGACCATGTGAAAGCTCACAACACAATTGTCCACACCGAGCCCCGCCCTATCGGTCCTAGTGTGGTATATTAAGGCCTGGATAGAATTTGACCCGGAACGCCCCCATACATGATTTTGAACAACGGACAAAAGTGAAGTCAAGTGGAGTTTTTTTTTGTTAATCTAAGTCGTCGAGGAAATCGGCGTGAAGTAAAAGTCAGAACTGAAGTCAAAGAAGTTATTTGAAGTCAGTCAAGTCAGTCAATGTTGTTAAAGTCGTAGTTGAGGTCATAGTGACGTAGTTGAAGTCATGTTGCAGTCAAAGAAAAGTATTTGAAGTTATATTAAAGTCGTTGAGGTCATAGTGAAGAAGTGAAATCGTCGAAGTTATAGTGAAGTCTTTGAAATCAAAGTGATGTCGTTAAAGTCTTTGAAGTCAAAGTTAAAGTCTTTGAAGTCATATTGAAGTTGTTGATGTCAAAGTGAAGTCTTTGAAGTCATATTGAAGTCGCTGAAGTCAAGGAAAAGTCTTTGAAGTCAAAGTGAAGACGTTTAAGTCGTCGAAGTTTAAGTCAGTCAGTGAAGTCCTTAAAGTTGAATTGAAGTCGAAGTCAGTCAGAGGTCTATGAAGTCAGTCGATTTAGTTGTCGCAGTGAAGAGAATTTAGTCGTCAAAGAGAATTTAGTCGTCAAGGAAATTAGTCGTCATGTGAAGTCAGTCGTCAGAGGAAATCAGTCGGCAAAGTGGAATCAGTCGTTAAATTGAAGTCAGTCGAGTTACTGAAGTCAAAGTGAAATAAGCCAAGTTACTGAAGTCAAAAGTGAAGTCAGTCATTAAGTCAAGCCAGCCAGTTTTTTGTCAGAAGTCAGATAGTGAGAGCTGCTCCACTATATGATCACGTGTTGAAATGACACGATACACACTCACATGTCTATTCTTTTTGTGAAGCTATTTCTAAGCTCTAGTAGTGTTTACGTCTATTGAGTTTATTAGGCTTTACAGATTGTTGTTAGATTAGAGTGTACTGATATTTTATTTGGTTATGTTGTAATGTTATTTTTTAATGTTTGTTATACTGCCAGACAAATGTTCAGCACGTTTAAATTTGGGATTGAGGTTTTTTTTTAATGGAAGGTACCTCTGTCTGAATACTTGTCTGCGCGGGCACTAAATTGGTCACGTAAAACCATTGCTCATGGTCTCGTAATACAATTTCAGACCCATTAACCTACACAGAATGAGACGAGATGAAGCAGACACTTCAAAGAGTGCCGCCACCTGAAGCCATGATTACGTTGAATTACCTGGACAGCGAACAGCCCTGCCGAACGGAGAATTGCCCTGGTCAAGACAGCGGACGCATCGCCACCGCTTCGCCCCACCTTGGGGTTGAATAACAGACCGCCAGCTACGTACACCTACGTCGGCACATACAAAGGGTAGAAGACCCATCGTCCAAGTTCCCAGCGTCGGAACGTTACGTCATTGTTCGCCACCGCATCAGACAGCTCCAGTTCATCGTATAACCACTCTACGTGGACGTCTCAACCAGCGTTGAGTTTGTTGCGTCATCACATTGACCAACGAAAGTTACGCCTACACCCGCCTCACGGGAATTTACATCAAAACTCGCCACAACCCACCCACCACAGAGGAACGCCAGCAATTACATAACACTTACACATACACTTACACTGCTCGCAGAGCCGTTCAACCAGTTACACATTACCACTAAGATTGGCTCAAGGCCAGTACACGGCAACCTAGCCAGAACTGAGTTACACATGATTGAATTCACACATACCATGAAACATAGACATACATTATCAAGCAGAGACACCACAGACGTCAGGATACCTACACAAGAACTAGAACAATGACATTTTTTTTTTTTCTCAAGAACACAGACACAAGAGTTTATGTTTTTGTAAACAGTGCTGTCCCATTTTTTATTGATTTATATGATTGATGTTAGGGATAGAATAGAGTAGTAAGATAGATAGTTGTTGATGTATTAGATTAGTAGCAGACGCTGAAAAATATAATTTGTCAGCTACAGAAAGGGAGGGAGATATGTGATGACGCAAGATTACGTCAGACATGTTTAGCAGATATAGGTTAGCAGAAACAGACTATCTATAGGCCTAGTTGGTTGGTCAGATAGAGGCCAATGGGCGCACAGGGCGGACCGGTCACGTGGGACGGTCAGCTGACCACTGAGGCGTGGGTCAGTAGAGCGATAGGCCAGGGTTGTTAGGTAGCGGTCAGAGACGGCCGAGGAATGTAGACAGTTAAGAGATCATGATTAGCTAGCGAGGGCAGAAGGTGTTAGGAAGCGGTTAGAGACGGTCGTAATATGTAGAATGTAGAGAACAGTTAGTGTTAGGATTGGTCATGGGAGTGCGTAGTAGTAGGTAGCATGTGATATGAACAGTCAGTAGTAGAAGTAAATAGTACAGTGTAGATCAGTTAGGTAGAAACTTGAACATATATATCATTTTAATAAAGAACAATTATAGTTGAACTTGAACTGTGTGTTGTTGGATCCATTCGTTACCGCCTCTTCATAAAAATCCCCACCCTCACAGTTAGACGTCGTCCTTCAACAAAGGCCTCTTTTTAAAACACATGGGGCATTGGTCTTAAAAATTGGGGCATTGGACTGAGACGGTAGGTCATTGATGTCACAGCGTGGGCATAGGTCTGAGACTGTGGACCAGCCGGACACATAATGACCTTTTACTTAGCAGCATCTCACCGCTCGCCACAGCAACAGATTTAATCTAGTGTAAATGAATCGACCTGGCGTATTGTCACAAATAATTTAACTGTACCCCCTTACACCAATTCTAATGCCATATTTCATACAAAAAATATAAATTGGCTGTGAGAGCTATCAATATGATGTAAAAAAATAAAATCACTGCTGGATTTTTTCAATTTCATCTTCTTGATTGAAGAAAAAGAAATATCAGATGGAATGCGACATCTAACGTATGACTGGGTAAAGTAAAGTTTCCCTTTCAAACCTGACGGTCTATGGGGCAAGTGAAGTAGAGTTCACTTGTTTCTGTGACCTCAGCATATGAAGAGATAGTGTGGTCAGCACTATGCCCAGCCGCCTTTACTTTCCTTAACGTGAGTTAGGTACCCATCAGAGTTGGGTGGACTCAGGGACGGTCTACTGACTTGAACCCGGATTCGAACTCGAGACTAACGGGTTAGCAGTCCAGCTCTCTACCGCTAGACCACTCCATTCCTGTATGACTGGGTTCTAGAACCTGATTCTCCCAATGTTTCCTCCCCAGTGTGGTCATCATGATGCTGCAGTACTTCGTCCCTCTAGCGGTCATCACCGTGACCAACACACACATAGGCTACATTGTCTGATGTTTCCTCCCCAGTGTGGTCATCATGATGCTGCAGTACTTCGTCCCTCTAGCGGTCATCACAGTGACCAACACACACATAGGCTACATTGTCTGATGTTTCCTCCCCAGTGTGGTCATCATGATGCTGCAGTACTTCGTCCCTCTAGCGGTCATCACCGTGACCAACACACACATAGGCTACATTGTCTGATGTTTCCTCCCCAGTGTGGTCATCATGATGCTGCAGTACTTCGTCCCTCTAGCGGTCATCACAGTGACCAACACACACATAGGCTACATTGTCTGATGTTTCCTCCCCAGTGTGGTCATCATGATGCTCCAGTACTTCGTCCCTCTAGCGGTCATCACAGTGACCAACACCCACATAGGCTACATTGTCTGGATTAAGAAGACACCGGGAGAGGCAGAGGAGGACAGAGATCGTAGGATGGCGGCCTCTAAACGGAGGGTAATGTCTGTGTCTGTTTGCTTGTCTGTGTCTGTGTGCTTGTCTGTGTTTGTGTACTTGTCTGTGTCTGTGTGCTTGTCTGTGTCTGTGTTTGCGTGCTTGTCTGTGTCTTTGGCAGTGTCTTTGTCTGTGTCTCTGCCTTTGACTGTGCTTTTGTCTGTCTTTGTCTGTGTTTTTGTGTTTTTGTGTTTTTGTTTTTGTGTTTCCTGTATTTCCACGTGTGTCTATAAGTATAAATATATGCGTGTTTGTTTATTAGTGTGTATGTGTGCGTCTCTTTGTATGAGAATGCATGTGTATCTGTATGTCTAAGAGCGTCTTCCTCTTTGCATGCCTAAATTTGTTTTTTTCATGTATGTTTACATGTTCATGTGTATGTATGAGTATGTGTGTTCTTCTATTTGGATCTCTATGTGTCTGTTTAATAGTTTGTCTATTGAGTTCTTTCTTTTTCGCTACTATTTATGTGTGTGTGTGTGTGTTTGTCTGTGTCGTTTGCCTATTTGACTGTATATTAAGTTGTCTCTGACAGTGTGTCTCATGTGTGTCACCTTTGTGTGTCACCTTTGTGTGTCACCTTTGCGTGTCACCTTTGTATGTCACCTTTGTGTGCCACCTTTGTGTATCACCTTTGTGTGTCACCTTTGTGTGCCATATTTGTGTGTCACCATTGTGTGTCACCTTTGTGTGCCACATTTGTGTGTCACCTTTGTGTGTCACCTTTGTGTGCCACCTTTGTGTATCACCTTTGTGTGTCACCTTTGTGTGTCACCTTTGTGTGTCACCTTTGTGTGTCACCTTTGTGTGTCACCTTTGTGTGTCACCTGTGTGTGTCACCTGTGTGTGTCACCTTTGTGTGTCACCTTTGTGTGTCACATGTGTGTGTCACCTTTGTGTGTCATCTGTGTGTGTCACCTGAGTGTGTCACCTGTGTGTGTCACCTTTGTGTGTCACCTTTGTGTGTCACCTTTGTGTGTCACCTTTGCGTGTCACCTTTGTGTGTCACCTTTGTGTGTCACCTTTGTGTGTCACCTTTGTGTGCCACCTTTGTGTGTCACCTTTGTGTGTCACCTTTGTGTGTCATCTTTGTGTGTCACCTTTGTGTGTCACCTTTGTGTGCCACCTTTGTGTGTCACCTTTGTGTGTTACCTTTGTGTACTCAAAGTACAAAACAGTTTGACCCCTGACGAACCAACTCAATAGACTTTGTTGTTTGTTGGATATCCATCTCCCATCATTTGACATCCATCTCCCATTGTTAGATATCCATCTCCCATTGTTGGATATCCATCTCTCATTGTTAGATATCCATCTCCCATTGTTAGATATCCATCTTCTATTGTTAGATATCCATCTCCCATTGTTAGGTATCCATCTTCTATTGTTTGATATCCATCTCCCATTGTTGGATATCCATCTCCCATTGTTTGATATCCATCTCCCATTGTTAGTTACCCTTCTCCCATTGTTAGATATCCATCTCATATTGTTGGACATCCATCTCTCATTGTTAGTTATCCATCTCTCATTGTTAGATATCCAACTCCCATTGTTAGATATCCATCTTCTATTGTTAGATATCCATCTCCCAATGTTAGATATGCATCTTCTATTGTTTGATATCCATCTCCCATTGTTTGATATCCATCTCCCATTGTTAGTTACCCTTCTCCCATTGTTAGATATCCATCTCCTATTGTTGCACATCCATCTCCCACTGTTGGACATCCATCTCCTATAATCGACTCGTGTCACTTGTCCCACCACACGACACGGCTAGGCAGACGTGAGCCTGGCCGTCTGCTAGCAAACACAGCAGAGACAAGAACCCTACCATTACGGCCAATTTAGGATTGGCAAATGAGAAATTTTTCTGTCGTGTATAGAAAAAAAATAGAAAACAGCCCAAAAAACAAATGGAGAATTGACAAGTCTGCACTTTTCACGTTATACTTAGGATCGTTGTTTTTACATTCCTATGAGAATTCCTATGAGAATTGTTGACCGTATAAGTTGCTATCTTCATACAAGTCCTAAGTCTAAATGTAGCGTGGCGCATTATATCGTGTGCAGCATAGATCGGGCGGGTGGGTAGGGGGTGCGACTTTCATTACTCTCCCAAAAGTATTAAAATAATAGAAAGCTGCAAGTTAAAATGTATTTTAACAAAAGTTAAACCTGTTTTAGTGACTTATTATCCTGTATAGAATTGTATTAGACATGATGAGGTGTTTACTTAATTTAATGTAAACACTTTTAATAGAAGAGAGTCTGACCCCTCTCCAACCGAGGTAGACTGTAGACATATCACATTCTTGGGTACCAAATTGATTAATAAAAATCATGAAGAACACTAACCGACCACTACTATCAAATGTATGTGAAAGACTTTTAAATTTTACTATTAGCACATATTGTTAAAGGTTTAAATAATGTGTTAATTTATAGTAAATAAAAAAGGTAGCCAAAATTAATTTTAAAAAAACATAGAATTTGATTTAAAATAATATTATGTTTAAGATAATTGTAAATTATATTTTAATTAGTGTTAATATGAGATATAAATGCACACAAGTTACAAATACTCAAATATCGTGTACATTCTTGGAAATTGTCTCCCTGGTAAGTAGACAAACTAGCTGTGGTCAGTTTTGTCCCCTTAATGGATTTGTTTATTAACCGGTCACTATTTATTCCTAAGATATGACTGCTACGTTTGCACAAAGAATCATGCGCTTTTGTCGACGACTTTGTTTTTAATATACAAGGTGTGTGTCGCTAGAGGTCAGTTTTCAACTCTTCACTAGGTCGTTGAACGAGATCGATAATCTGACCTGCATTCTGGTCACGGCGCTGAATTGTACTCACCTGAAAGTGCCCAGACAGTACTAGGGAAAACCTACCTTCTGTACAGAGTTGCATTATCGTACAAACATAGACAAAGTTTACATACACCACCATTTCAATTTAAGCAAATTGTGACCTTTGCCTTCCAGATGTAATCGAATTTCGAAAACAAATCTGTAACTGCTTTTAAACATTATGTATATTTTCATATTTAATAGTTTACCCGTTGTTTCATACAATCATCAATATCTAGCTTAGACTTTTTACTAAACATACCTTCACTCTGCATAAAATAAACAAAAAACAAAAAAAAAGCCCCAAAAAAAAAAAACAAAAAAACTTTATAATAAGCTTTCACATGCACTGACAATAAAATAAAACAAATTCACTTTCTTTGTTTTATTTTCTAGTTTTTTTTTAGTAACTACGAATTTTAAAAATTAATATAGTAATTCGATATATTATTAGTTTTAAAAATAGCAGGCTTACTTAATTTTTCGCCTTCAGTTAGCTCTTAATGTAGTCGACAATTCATACAACTAAGATATATTTAAAAGATATATTTATATCTAAAAGACAATTTAACTGCCCATTGGAAGTGAGATATCGACTCTATCCAAGACGCACAGTTCCCAACCGTATGGTAGTACGTAATCTTGCAATCTCCCATTTTGTCTACAAAATGTTTATTTAAATTCAAATGACTAATTTAATTTCTAATTAGATTAAATTTAGATACTCTTGCATTGTCATCAAAGACGAACTTGTCTTGAAAGTAAAAACGAAATCGCTGCATGTAGAGTAGGCTAGTATTGAGTCGCAAGATACGCCACATACTCACAAACAGAACTTGTGAATTAAATAAAAATTGATCTAAAAAAGAACAACATAAACTCATCTATACTGTGCTGATATAGGCTCTCAGATCTACACTATAGTGACACCCCCGGTTTTCACAAATCGCTTTTATTTTTTACTGCTAGCAAATCTCGTCAAGCAATCGTCTAAGTGAGCAGTGTTTGCGGAGCGCTATTTGCGCGGCTGTCTCATTTCCCTGAGCCGGGCCTGCTGAGGGGTCGAGGCAGAAGTCAATGGAACTTCAAACATGACTGGACTGTTTGCTGGACGGCCCCACCCCCTCCCCTTCACCTTAAATAAAGACTGAGCTCGATTGCATAACCACTTTCTTGTTCAAAGTTCCATTGCCACATGTATTAAAGCATCGATTTCATTAGATCTACATGCTCGGGTGAATATAGGCGTTGAGATTATTATTGTAAAGTTATTCATACATATATATATATATATATATATATATATATATATATATATATATATATATATATATATATATAATATATATATATATATATATATATATAAATATATATATATATATATATAAATATATATATATATATATATATATATATATATATATATATATATATATATATATATATATATATATATATATATATATATATATATATCCAGTTAAACTAGATGCACTCAATAGAAAACGAGTTAATATCCTACAGTCTGGTTTGGAGACGCTATAAATGGTAATAATTTAGATATCAATTTCTTTGGAGGGGATGATCGATTTCATAGCACCTTTTCAAACCTGGCAAATGATTCAAGTCGGTAATCAGCGAGCTAAATCGTTATAAATCCAATATAAGGATTCACAGTAAACCTCAGACGGTTTTAAAAGAATGTTGTTGCGGCGAATGGATAAGAATTGTAGGTGTGTTAAATTCATGAGAAAATTAGAGATGGGAGTTGATACATTCGTGGAATGTGGGTATAGGAGAATATCCATGGGCATAATGGGGAAGGCTTGGCATGGATCATGGGGATGGCATAGGATTGAGGGTAGAGTGGAGTGTTGGTGGATTAGGGGGGGGGGGAGTAGTGAATGAGAATGAGGGGGTATATCATTGTGATCTTCTCTTATTAATAAAACAGATAGTGTTAGTTACCTCACAAGATAAAGACAGTTACAAATACTTTGGACGTTTCGACCTAAGGTCTTCGTTAGCACGCAAAAGTGTGATCTTCTCGAGACTGATTGTTGCCACAACATGTAGACTGGTTCTGTTTAGTATTAAAATTTTAATATCTTTTTAATTTTTTCATCTTTTTTTATTTGTCTCTCTCTACCAACAGCTCGTAAAGATGATCATCATCGTCGTGGTCATCTACGCCGTCTGCTGGCTCCCCCTCCACGTCATCACGCTGGTGGGCGACCACAACCCCGTCATCTACAACGCCCCCTACATGAACGTCGTCTGGCTGTGCGCCCATTGGCTGGCCATGTCCCACTCCTGCTATAATCCCATCGTCTACTTCTCCCTCAACGCCACCTTCCGCCGCAACCTCAAGCGCATGACGACAATTTGTCGCCTCAACCAAAAACGTCTTCGCCAACATTTATCCATGAGAACCGGCAAAAGCGATATCTGGGACAGGGAAACTGAAATCTACGGAAGTGCTGACTCCATCCGGTCAAAGTTCAGCGCCGGGAGTCTGCATTCTTCCAGTAACAGAGTCGTGATGCACGTCGACTCGTTCGAAGAATGGAAGTCTCTGAACAAGGCCAAGAAAGTCAAAGGAGTCACAAATGATATGTATTTGTGAGCGGAGCGACACATAAAGCCTTAAAGACTTGTCTATAGAATCAGCATCTGTTGGCTTGGTGTGTCTTCAACAAATTTAACCAACAGACAAGTCAGGGGCGTAGCGAGGGGGGGGGGGTGCGGACCGCACCGGGTGACACCATTTAGGGGGGGGGGGGGTTGACACCAAGGCAAAAAATAGCTAAATATATAGAGAAAAACTTGAGAGGGGGGGGGGTGCAAATCGAAAGTATAAAGGGGGGTGGGAGGGGGGGTGCAAATCGAAAATTTGAAAGTTTGTCCCCAGGAAGGGTCGCTATGCCTCTAGGGGGTGATACTATTAAGTGCCGCACCGGGTGATACCCGACCTCGCTACGCCACTGAGACAAGTAACTAAACATTACAGCTCATGCTAAACACATTCCTAATGATACATTTTATAAATTATATATATGTATATATATATATGTATATATATATATGTATATATATATATATATATATATATATATATATATATATATATATATATATATATATATATATATATATGTAAGTATAAATACATGAAAATGAATTTTGAATCACCCCATGACCAATTGCTCGATTTAAAAGTATATATATATATATATATATATATATATATATATATATATATATATATATATACATGAATAAGGATGTATAAATGTAACTATTTCCCTTTGTGTGCTACCCAAAGCCTATGTGAACCGTTATAAATGTATAATGTTACTTACCATATCTATGCCTGTTAGTAATTCCCTGTTTCATGTACATTACCTATTGCGGGTGATACTATAACAACTGTGAATGTTAAAACTGCTACGTCACGTGATCATGCTGATGACGTCACCAGCGGATATCTGGCACTTCTCGTGTTGACTGTGAAAAAAATGACCAATAAATTATGATTCTGCCCACTGTTTATTTTGTTTCATGAGTTGTTAGTTGCAAGCAAGTTCGCTAATTTTAATTTACATTTAATTTTTTACTCTGCAGTCACCTTTTTTTAGACTACGTTTTCTGGAAATGTGGTCTTCATATATGCGACTATTATGCTACAAGTATTTCACTAATTTGCCACGAGCATATCACAAACATGCCACTGGCATGCCAACAACATACCACTGACATGCCACTGATATGCCACTAACATGCCACTAACATGCAACTGACATGCCACTGACATGCCATTAATTGCTCAAATTAATGAAGATAGTCAAAACTACACTTCTTTGAACTTGGGTAAAACGCAACATCAGTTTTCCTATCCCTTAAAAAGATCATACACATTTTAAAGAATAAATCAAGCTTTATGATGTTTTCAGAATAAAAGAAATTGATGTTGCGAAGAGCCATGACTGGGAAAGATGAATGTAATTAACACAATCATATTATTGAATTTAAGGGGCAAAAAAGAACAATAACTTTAAAAAATAATTGCAAATTGTTTTATCAGATCATATTTTGTTGCTCAGTGCTTTCTGTAGGAAGTCATTAAATCATTTTTTTCGTTTCTTGTAGTTTAAGAATACTATAATAGATCTTTTTGTTTAGTTCTATTATATAGGACATATTTCAAATCGTATTTATTTTTATTTACGTGTCTGTTTGCAGATCTCCATTATCGTTAGATATTTTAAGGATTATCTGTTACTGAGATGTTGAATTGGCTGATATTATCGAATTTTACGTAAACACATTTTAATGGAAGTTCCACAAAGTAGATAAGTTCAAACTGAAGCATGCGGCCTAGGTGTCTTGGGAATAAAAGGGAAAAGATGTTGAAGTGGTAAAGACATTGGTAGTGTTGGTGGTGTTGGTGGTGTTGGGTGTGATGTTGGTGGTGATGTTGGTGTTGTTGGTTTTGGGGGTGTTACTATAGTAGAGGTTGGGGGCTGAGAAGATAATAGGTAGGGGTGGGGGAGGCTGGGAATATGTTTACTATGGTAGGGGTTTCAGGTATGACCCTATGTTTAAGTGGCGACCATCATTTGGTGAACTGCGATGTTGTGAAGCATCAGGGATGGTGATTGAATAAAAGCTATATATCTAATAACAATGGTTTACATCAACAAATAAAAGAAACATTGGTGTTGGACTCTTATCTCCCTTCCACAAGCACATGATCAGATAACACATTTTTTATTGAATCAATCAGTTCGTATTACCGTGGCTTGGGCGTGTTTATAAAAGGGCGTTGAACGAACGGAACAACACAATACAAGGTCGCTGATTCCAGCTTAAGAAAGAAGCATGAAATATCTACTAGCTTATTCGAAAAACTTCGAAAAACTAGGATATGTATGCCTACAATAACATTGTTGGGGAACGGCGTGGCCTAGCGGTAAAGCGCTAGAGTGGTGAACCAAAAGTCTCGAGTTCGAATCCGGGTTAAAGTTAGTAGAACGTCCATGTGTCATGGGTACCTAACTCATGTTAGGGAAGGCGGGTGGTCACAGAAACAGATGAGCTCAACTTCACTAGCCCCATGGACTTACTTTAGGACATTTTTAGGGTTTAAAAACCGTGTCTAACATATTTTTTAACATGTCGGAAACTTGTCAAATAGTATTGACTTGGGTATATTTATTTCAGACTGCATTAAAGGTCAACAGACAAAGCGGCAATGTGAAATCTTTTAAAAAATAAAAATTGTAATCTCAGAGACATTTTAGCCATGATTTCTGAAAGCCAGTCACCACTGATTTGTAACTTTTCTGACCTTCCAATTATTTAACAATATCTAACCAGAATATTTGGACATGCTTGGTTTATCACACTTTCTCATCACAACTAGCTTGCCAGATTTCCTTGACCACTTATTCCTTTGGCCTGAACGTATTACATTTTGTGACCGACTATAGACCTATCGACCGTAGTAGTTTTGTGACCATCGATTTGCCATTTTCTGACGACCACTAGACCCAGTGGCTTGATGTATTACCCAACCTCCAATATCTATATCATAATTTCACCCGATCTTTCTTGTACGGAAATGTTCTCTGTGAGGTAGGCCTACACGTAACAACCACGTCTTTGGCCACCATGCAATATTGAATGTCGATTTGATCTAACCACCCACCGTGCTTCCAACTAGCTCAATTTCACCCTCACACATGGGTACGCACGCACGCACACACTTACCCCCCCCCCCCTCCACACACACACATCCCCATATATATATATATATATATATATATATATATATATATATATCGTACATTTATGATAATATCTTCTACCATGGTGGTAATAAAGAAATATTTTTAATTCTATACTGTTTTGATTTGAGTCACTGACATCAATCGCCCGATTCGTATTCCATATGTACGTTAACTGCAGTTGCCGTCATAGCTGATATATTTTCCTGTATAAGCCATTAAGGTTAATTATTAATTACCCGAAATAGAGGTGTCAGAGCGAGTAAACAATACTAATGGCTGGAGTCTTTTTAGGACACGGAAGTTAATATTGTTGTTGTGTTTTTGGTTGTAATGTCGATGGTGTTACTGTTATAGCTGATCAGACCGGCCTACTGTCGATTAAACAACATATTTGGACAAAGCTCACAGCAGGGTTTACTTTAGGCATCCCTTCGCGGGGGGGGCGGGGGTCTCATGCCCCTAACCCCGAATCACGTCTACCGCGCCCTCCCCCCCCCCCTCAAACAAATAGAACATATATGGAAAATAAATTAAAGAAATACTTTTACCCGTGTCCGCCCCCCACCCCCCCCCCCCATCTCCAAGAAAGTTTCAAGTGCCAGTCTCCCCCCTCCCAAGAGAAAAAAACGTCTGAAAGAAACTCTGGCCGATGGCATGTGATAATAATTGAGTAGACCGGATAAAATATATGAGCATAAAGTATTTCGTCTCACTTTACTTAGGTTACCATCATGGGCATAAGTAAACCAACTCAAGTTGAACTTTAAACTTTAATCTCTACGTAAAAACTTAGCATCCAAGTATAACAAGTATCTCCAAACTTAGTTCTAAAGTTTCCTTACAGTTTAGCTAAAATTAACTTTAGAAAGTTTCAGAAATATGGAAAATGCATTATCTCACGGTATAATGGTTTTTTTTCAGTATTCTAAAAAAAATCATATACAACTTAAGAATCTCTTAAAGTTTAAAAAAAATTCTTATTATAAAATTCAACATCAAGTCTTACTTTAATCCTCAATCTAGCAACATCTACGAGCGTAATTCAAAAACTTAATCTCTCTTCCAGAGATTCGATTATTACAAAGATATCTATATACTACTAAAAGTCAAGTTTGTTTACATGTTTGAATATTTATTTGTTTGTTTGCCTGATCGACTATTGTGATATGTTCGACTCTATCTGGAAAGCTGTAAAATAGTATGTAGGTAGAGAATAATTTTTTAATGCAGACAGACTGTTAATCACAAATTTATTTAAAGACGTTAATTAATTTATTGATTTATTCCTACGCAGAATAACCCATTTTTTTTTAAAATGTCAAAACCTTGACTAAACTTTGTGGGAATAGTGACGTCACAGGTTTTTGTTTACTCTTTAGTACAATAAAATGGCGGCGTCTATTGAAGAAAATTGTGTTCCCATTCAAAAGTTTAACGCGTTCTAAATCTAATTTTCTGTCGGTCATAACTTTAACAATACGTCCGTTTGCTGTATTTATTACGTCCCAACACTTATATCAATTTTAAACTGTCTTTTTTCATTTAGTTTTTCAATAAATTTCTCTAGATCTAAAGATCGGCTGTCGAAGGAAAGTTATTTATAGATCTAGATCTAGAATCTAGGTCAAATCAAATCTAATTTTCTGTCGGTCATAACTTTAACAATACGTCCGTTTGCTGTATTTATTACGTTCCAACACTTATATCAATTTTCAACTGTCTTTTTAATTTAGTTTTACGATAAATTTCTCTAGATCTACAATTTGTCCAAGAAAGTTATTTATTTATTTATAGATCTAGATCTAGAATCTAGGTCAAATCAAATATTTATTGATTATAAATACAATCCAAA